CATCAGCTCTCTCCTATCCACACTGCTTCATTCTTACAGGGTCCTTCATACAGAAGCAGTTCTCCTCTCGGGTTCAGAACACACCGTCAGGCTTTTAACATCCCTACTGCATGGATGACACCAACACCGAGTGCCAGCAAAGCCCAGGCCAGCTCATCCAGGAAGGCTCAGATAAGTGCCACAGGATGAGGGGAGCATCTTGCAGTTCCCTGTGCTGCTGCAAAAAGGGTGAGCTGACTATTGCCACTCGGAGCAGAGGACGATCAGCCAGGCCATGCACGGAGGTTAGCAGCACCTCCCAGTGACTGCCGGGAGTGGCGAAAGGGGTTTCTGGTAGGATCGTGAAAATGTGGCCTCTATCCAGTGCCTTTGTGCAATAAGGCTGCAGTTGTGGCATAGCCTGACCTGCAACCCAAACTGCAGGGTTTTCAGGACAGTGAGAGCTGCAAGAGGTGGAGGGTCTGCTGCCTCTTACCTGGGCAGTGCAGTCAGTAGCTGTGTTATTCGGACACCAGGCAGAACACCAGGGCCTCACCTCAGAGATCAACTGGCAAAGAGGGGTAGGAGCCATCACAGGCAGCAGCCTACTGCATCAGATTCCTCCCTGGGCAATTCATTCTCATGGCCAGTAGCCTTTGCTGCTACCTCTGACAAAAACGATTGAGGAAGTCACAACAGCCAAACTCCAGGTGCTGTGTGCAGCAGCTCTGCTTGCAGCAGCTTTGTGCTGAGGGCTGATGATCTGGGATGTTACTCTGGGGCACCCACATTCTAGTTTTATGCCACTGTACTGCATCTGACTCATGACTCTGTGGCTCCAGTACTCAGACTGGGCCATTATGGCAGCTTGTCAGCATTTTAGTCTGGAAGCAACGTGTTGGAAAATGTACAACGCTCAGAACTAGCTGCCAGTGAAGTGCTTTTGTTAAGAACAGAAGCAGAGCCACTGGGTCAGACTAGGGGCCCCTTTAGCCCAGTATCCCAACCCCAGCAGTGGTGGGGGTGGATGCTAGAGAGAGAGCACTGAACTGGACCCATCTAGAGTGATCTCTCCCCTATTCAGTACCCTCCCTGGCACCCACCAGTACTGGTGTAGAGATGCCAGAGGCAAGGTCTCCAAGCATTCTGGTCAATAGCCATGAATAGATCCATCACCTATGAATTTATCTAGTCCCATATTGAACCTGTCTGTGCTCTCTGCCTCCAGCATCTCCTGTGGAAGTGAATTCCACAAATTAACTATGCACTGAGTTAAAGGAGAGGCGGGGGGGAAAAAAAAAAAAAAAGTACTTCCTTGTTAGTTTTAAATGGTCACCTACTTATTTCAGTGGGTGGCCCCTTGTTCTAATATTCTGACACTTGGTGAACAACAGTTCCCTGTTCACTTGTGTCCACACCCTTCACAGTTTCATAGTTTGTAGGGTCGGAAGGGACCTGAGCAGATTGTCAAGTCCAACCCCCTGCCATGGCAGGAAAGAATACTGGGGTAAAACAACCCTGGCAAGGTGATTATCTAGCCTCCTTTTGAAGACCCCCAAGGTAGAAGCCAGCACTACTTCCCTTGGAAGTTGGTTCCAGATCCTAGTTGCCCTGACTGTGAAGTAGCACTTCCTGATGTCTAGCCTGAATCTACTCTAATGCTTCATGGACCAAGTTTCTCATCTCTGGAGGAGGTGATGGGAAAGCTGTGGTCCTTCAAAAAGGTGGTAGCAAATGGACTAAGCAAGCAGAACATGCATCCTCTGTGTTCAGTCCCAGGCTGATCACATGACTCATGGGCCTCAGCATCATCTAGGTGAGCCCCATCATTCTCATGTGGAAAGGTAGGCAGAATCCCAGGCTGACACTTGGCATGACCCATTCTTCCTCAGCTTCCACATGGATAGAGGAAGCAGAGGGAGCCCAGCACCACACTACAAAGGGATTCTGTGGTCCCTGAATGACCTCTACTTTGCAAAGAGTTTGTTTCAGGCTTCTGCATCTGAACATCTGCGCTGGAGAGATGTCTACACCTCCACTTCATCTTCTGGTCTGTCTAGCTTCTGGAGTTCTGCTGGCCTGTGCCAAGTTTAAACATCCTGAGATAGCAGCCTGAACCAGAGTAAGTCTGGAGGCAATATTAAGCTGGGTCTCTGGTACAGGCATGGTCAGCTCCCAGGAATCACTGGTTTACAGGCAGCTGACCCCACACTCCTCCAGAGGCGCCTACATTCTTGGTGTAGGGAGAGAAGACACCGGATTCCAGCACCTCGCTGCAGGGCTATTCCCAAAGTGTGGTGCACAAGTGTGATGGCTCCCCACTTCAGTAACAGATACCACTAGGGAGGAAGACAGAAAAGCCGGATCCCAGATCTTTTGATACAGCAGAGATCCTGATTCCCAAAGTACTTAGGTACACAACGCCCATTGAAAACAGCCAAAAAAAAAGGACATTGGGCATCTTGGTATCATAAAGCAGCGGTTCTCAACCTTTTTTGTACCAGGACCCATTTGTAAACATCAGTGGCCATTCCTAACCTAGTGCCCCTCACTCCCGACCTGCTGCCCCCCACCCCAGCCCTCTCGTGTGTGGGGCATTGTTGGGGGGGGGGGGGGGGGGG